CCCTCTGGGTGAACGACCTGTTCCTAACATGCAGCCTAAATATCCCCTGACACAGCTTCAGCATGAAGCTGGGTAACAAGCATGAGCAAGTCGTAACTGCAACGAGGTCTGTGCTCGGTCTCTTCTCCAGGCTGGACAGACCAAGTGACCTCAGCTGCTCCTCACAAGGCTTCCTCTCAAGGCCCTTCACCATCCTCGCTCATTTGGAAACTCTGGGCAGAGGCCCAGCAAGGGCATGGGGAGCACCTCTCCAAAGTGTCACTGGTGTGTGGGTGACTCTCACAAACCAATAGTCATTCCTGGGCTCTGCCACTGTGCAGAGCTCCAGCATACCTCCAAGGCAAGGAGACCCTTCACATATGCACGGATTTGCTGAACTCTAGCAAAGACAGCCCTCTTCTTGAGCTGTTCTGGGTCTCCCACCTCCTTCAACTTGCATGGGTGGGATGGCAAATCCCTGCATTTGTGAGCCACACGTGGTGCAAAGGGCTTCTGTCAAACCATTTCTGCCCTTACTGTAGGTCTTACTGATGAGAGGGTCCAAGTGAAGTCTGAGCTTTATTTGAGGATGGAAGTTAACTCTGTTGAATTATTCTTTAAGAAATCATTGAAAGGGTTTTTCACACCATCCCTGGGATCCTGGAGGTTTAGAAGTTGCCATGTGCCAGACTCCCACACTGCTGCTAGATGAGTTCTCCAGGCTGAGCTGGTCTAAAGTTACCCTAAGAGATACAAGAAGGGTGCAAACTCCTAGAGAAAAGAAACAGGAAAACAGAGAGGAGGGTGGGAGGGGAAGGGGAGAAGAAAGAAGGAAAATCCATCTCATGTTCTGACAGCAAGTTTCTCATGCCTTGTGGGAACAAAACTGTTCCTGACTGGGCTATAAGAAAACCTAGAATGCTGTGAGATGTAGGGAAAAGGAGGTGTGGGAGATGCAGGCACTGATGTGACTGACTCCAGCAAGCTTCTTCTAGTGCTACCAGGAACAAAGAATCCCAAAGCACACAGGACTGGGAGTGCTCTTCCCAGCAGTCCCATTCCTGTGGCAGCTGTTGAGCACTTTTATGGGATCGCCTGCCTGGAGTCCTGCATTGTCTGGACATAGCTCCACTTCTTGCCCTATCCTCAGCCTCACACTGCCCATCTAGGGCCTTAGGCTTTGTTGAAGGCATTACCCCACCTGCCAGGATTTATGCCACCATCAAGAGGGCTTGGACCTGCTTGAAGAAGACAGTTGCCAGTCCACTGAGTAAATGGGCTGTTTATTTATCTTATATGTAGAGCAGCTTGAGAAGGGTACCTCCAAAGAGGAGCCAAAATCAAAAAAATAAAAAAAAATTATTGGGCAATTATAGTCTTACAATGTAAGTTCCCCACCCCTCACATGACAGTTCTGACCACTAGTAATATTAGGATCTGGGGTGTTCTTTACTGGGTTCCCTCACTGTCTCTAGGTGGGCTGTTCCTTCTCTTATCTCTAAGACTGCTGTGTCAGCTGACTTAATGATGGTAGCAGCCTTCCCTGCTTCCTTATCTCCCAGCTCAAACCAGCTCTGGGGCCCCCTTTTACTTAACTTGGTAAAAGTTCAGCCTATCTGGGTGGAAATTTGCAACTTGTAGTCTAAGGCTTCAGCAAATTTAGCTCCTAATGCTAAGCAAGCTCTGTGTACCAAGCATGTGATAGGGTTGAAGTGTTAGTAGGAGATCAGGTGAGTCAATACCAGGAGCAGAAGAAAGACAGCTAAATGGGCCATGTTTTGCAGCTGCACCTGGTGGAACCTGTGGCCCAGACTGTCTGCAGAGTTCCCTGGACAGCCTGATTAGGATGAGAAAATAATGGACTAGAAAAGTCAAAGGGTGCCTGGCTGCCTTCAGCCCCAGCAGATGTGCCCGCCAGGCTGGAGAATACTGCTCGGAGCCTTCATCTTCCCCATCCCTGCCCAGCTGACCAAGAAGGCTCTGCAGAGCACTTTGTAGCATCCTCACCCAGCAGCTGAAGCAGCCTGCGAGGAGGAGGGGGGAGGTGGACACACACTGGGATTGGTGGGGCATGGCTTTGAGATGTGCTGAAGGCAGGGCCCCTTTGTGCAGGGCTTCTCTTTGCCCTCATGGGCTAGAAACAGGCTGGTAGAAACGTGGAGTAGGAGGCAAGAGATACAGAGAGCAGAGACAAGCCCTGAAGTTAATCATGGAATGTGTAGTAGGAGGGAGAAATGTGACAAGAGACACCTGACAGACAGAAAAATGATGTTTAAGTCTGTTCATTCCCTCTTGGTTGCATATGGGAAAAGTGAGGTGGAGGAGGTGGTAAGCAGCTTGGCCACAGCTCCGTGGCTGAGCTTGGATTTAAGCTGCGGTTGCCCAAATCTGCTTTGCTCCCCATTGGCCATGGTCCCTGCTCAGGTGCTCTCTTCAGCCTGATACTGCCTGTTTCTGTTATGTGCTGGCATCTTTTTCAGAGAATGGTGCCCACCTGCACAGCTGCAAGAGCTGCAAACACTCCGCACACCGGACTCAGGGGAACCACACCAAGAGCTCTCCATCCAGCATGAAGGAAGGGCCATTCAGAAACCTCCCTGGCCCATGGCTTATCTGGCCAAGCATTGAAACTTCACACACTTTGGCTTTCAAATTAATCTCTGCTTGAGCTGTAATAGAAAGAGACAGCCAGGATGTATTTTGTCTTCCTGGAGATACCAGAAAACTGTGTGAGCACAGATCACCTAGCCCAGGCAACCCTGGCACCTGAGCCATGAAAGACAAAAGATCCCTGGGGTCCAGGAGGATTCATCCAGGTAGCCTGTGAGGCAGCAGGGCTCTTGGCAGGGTTGTGACTGGGCAGGGCATCTTCTGGCTGAAAGGCAGAGGGCTTCATGCTGGTCAAGCCCTTCCCCTGCGCAGAAACGTCTGTGGCTGGGGGAGGATGTGATGCATTTCAGATCTGCGTCGTGCTGTGAGGAAACAGCGTCTGGTCTCTGTTCCTCACAAGATAAATGTCAAGACATGCTTCCAGTAATGGATGCCAGAACTTGGCAGGCTCAGACACATCTGCCTGCTTGCCTGCCCACTACTGCTCTTGCTCAGCACAGTCCCTTCCCTGCTGCCTGGCAGGCTGGAGAACATCCTGGAACTGCTCAGGGCTGGTGGGTGAAGGCTGCTGGGACGCCTGCAGAGATTTCAGCTGTGCTTCCTCTTTGAAAATAACCCAGAGTAGGCTCTGGTTCGCAGAGCTTTTCCTCTTATCTAACTCTGTGTCACCAGACAAATGTGCCACAACATGGCAGCGTCTTTCTGGAGGGAAAATGAGTCTGAGCATCCACTGGTAGAGGCCCTGAAGGGTATTTATGCTTCAGCTAGGCTGAAGCACAGGAGAGATGGAGTTGCCTTGGAGCTGAGGAAGGATGCCTTGAGAAGGGTCTGAGGTGGTGGGTTTTGTCCTCCCAGGCTGAGGGCTACTCTGCCTCAGGCAGGGGTGCTCCCTTTGAGAAGCTCCTGGCTCCTATCCCTCTCTTCAGGCCACTGCTTGCCAGGCAGCCTTTCCTCACCTTTGTGCCTGGTTATTGTCAGAATGCAATTAAGCCAAAGGCTGATTGCATCTCCTACTTGGGCTGTAATATAATCACTGCCAGGGCCACAGCAAAGGCTCCCTGTATAGCAGCTTGGAAAATGTGGCAGATGCATGAGGCTTTTTCAAGCCGTTATTTGAAACATCAGCTTCTGATCTGCCCTGGGTGTGGGTTCCCAGACAGGTCACACCACTGGGGTGGTCTGCAGCACATCTCCCTGCTTCCTCTAGACACCGGCCATGGAGGGGAGCATCTCTGTGCACCACACAGCCCTGTGCAGCTGATGGCAGAGCAGCCATCCCTCACACAGCCACCCTGCTCATGGCACAGCCCTGGTGCCCCACCACAGCTGTCCCCTGTGCTGCTGGCAGAGCTGTTCTTGGACCTGCTGCAGGCCACGTCTCATACAGGTGTGAGCAGAGACTGACTGATTCTGATGCCCTGGAAGTTCACAAGGCGATTGCTGGATGTTGCTGGGCTGCTGCAGCCATCCTGCCCATCCCACGGTGACAGCACCCAGCTGACTCCTGCCATTCTCCAAAGTCCCCTCATTACCCTGCTTTCCCTGCCACACCAGCTGACTCCTGCCATTCTCCAAAGTCCCCTCATTACCCTGCTCTCCCTCCCACACCAGATGCCAGAGGCTTTGTGGGGCCAGCCAGCTCCCCCATCACACATGAAAGACTCACTGCCCTGGCACAAGCTCTCACAAGCTGCTTGTAGGAGAAGTGCTGCCCAACAAGGAAGGCCCCACACCTTTCCCACAAGGGTGCTCCCCACCCTTGTGAGGTGGCTGTTGTTCTGGAAGGTCTCCAGCCCATGAGAGGAATGAGGCAGGAGCCAGTGTCACCCTGCTCATCATCATTCCTGGGAGGGGAAACATCTGCCACTGTGTTGGGTAGGTGCCAGGGAGGGAGAAAGCCACAGGTATCAGGAAGATGGCTCTGGCCCACTGCACACCTTGCTGGGGATTATGTCAAGGTGGTAGCTCATCCATGGGTCAATGTCCCACCAGGGTCCCTGGGAGCCACAGGCACCCAAAGAACTCCTCCTGTGGAGAATAAGGAGGGCTTGCTCAAGGCTGCAACAGAAAGTGGGTCGATGGGACCCAGCCACAGCAGCAGGAGCACTGTGGAAAGGAGACAAAGGGAAGTGCAGGGCCAAAGCCCAGTGCTGAGTCAGGTTGAGCAAGAGCTGTCTCCCTCCAGTCTCCAATCCCCACTGATTGTGAAACAGACACTGGGGCCTGGAGCACAGCCTCCACCCCCCATCCTTATCTTTCCTCTTCCTCCTCCAAGACTGTGCCCAGGGCAGTAGGAGCTTGTGCAAAACAAGGCTGAGAAGCTCTGGGGCTAATTATTTAGTAGCTTCTGGTAATGTTGACTGGGCCCCTGGGGACTCCTTGGCTAAAGGAGAGAAGGAAGTGCAGAGAGATACTGGAAAATTACTGTTTAATTCTTCATCATTACATCTGAGTGTATGGCATCTGGTAGACATGGGAAAAGGCAGATAACAACCCAGTCACTGCAAAGCTCTGCAGCCCTTCTCTTCCCCAGCAGCAGGGGCAGCCAGGCCCCCGGAGGGACGGCTCCAGCCTTGGGGAGGGCTCTGTGCCTGGTGAGATGCGTGTCCTTGGGCTGGCACTGCCTCTTCCTGGCCCTGCAGCCATCAGTACTCTTGCTGAGTGTCACAGCCAAGGAACTCTACTCGCAGGGCAATGTGGTTGTGCCACTGGCGAGGGTGTATCCTCACATAGCGGGCAAAAAGAGGGGACTCCAGGGTATTCGTCACTGTGCTCTGATGGTCTTGGTTTGCCTTGAAAATCTGGAGAGGAGAGAGAAATCAGGGATGCACTTTTCTCTGCTGGCATAGTGAGGACAGGGTCAACCCACACAAACACACCTTGGAATGCTTTAAGGAAGAAGGAAGCACAGCCTGGCTCACTGCTCTTGGAAAGAAATCCTGTGAGCATGTTTGCTGCCAAGGGCTGTGCTTGCTGCCCTGGGGGTGGCCATGGGCTCTGGCCACAGAGCAGCTCTGCCTACCTTCTCCTTGCCATTCTGCAGGACTGGGCTCCAGTGCACGCCATCCTGGCTGATGGAGACAGCAAACTCCTTCACAAACATCTGGGTGAAGAGAGCTTTGGCACCTTGGGTTATGATTGCAGTCACCTTCTTGGTTACTTCAAAGTCCACCTGCAGCCACTCTCTGGGGCTGTTGCTCTGGGGAAGGACAGACTGCCTTCAACCCTCCAGCAGCAATGAGAAATACACACTCATTGCAGCTGAAGCCAAGCTGGCCCTGCACTTCCCTGTGCTTCACCTGCCCTACCAGGCATCTGGCTGGAGCTGCTGGGTGCTAGATCAATGTGGCAGTGAGTGTGCAGCTTGCGTGGTGCATGCATACACTTCCCACAAAGCCCTGACTGGGAGACCCTGCTGGGGTCCCAGCTGCCTGCCTGGTATCTCCTTGCACAGGCTACCTTTGGCCTCCAGGCATTGGTCCTGCCCTGAAGGTTCAGGCGGGCCAGGGCAGGTGTCCATCTGGAGAAGAAGTTGGCACTGTGGGAGGATGCAGAGATGTGCTCATCAGGAATCCCTCTGTTCTCCATTCCTAAGGGCATGGAGCAGCCTGGAAGAGAAGAGCAATATTTGTCATGGGGTAGAACAGTAACCTCATGGAGATGCCTTCTGCCTGCTCACTGCTCCAGCTGTCCTTTTCCCTGGCTACAGGTTCTTCTGTGCCTTACTGCAGTGCCCTGACCTGGTTGGGGCCCCTGTGTGCAGCATGGCTCTGGCCAAACTATTCCTACCTTCTTTTCTCCCTGGAGATTTTATCTAAGAGGAATGTGAAGAATTTATGGTGTAAGGAGACGTACCAGGGGAAAGACGAGAATACCTGGCAGGGAGACACCCTGCATATGTGTGATCAAGTGTGCCTGTGCACAGCTGCTTCAGAGCCAGATGGCAGGTTTGGGGAATGGGCTGACAGCACAGCCCCTGCTGCTTTTAGCTGCTGTAGAGCAGGTGTGCAAAGCCAAAGAAAGGATCTCAGGGCACCATTACCTTATGTTGCACTGTTGATCAGAACCATCTCACCTTCAACTGGCAAAATCAGAGTAAAAGCCAACAGCATCTGTCTCTGCTTGTTTTCTGCTCCCCCAGACTGAGGCAGCAGCTCCCCATCTATCAGCTTAGCTGCTGCTGGAAGTTTCCTGTGCTTCAGTAAAAAGGTTGCTGAGCTCTGGCCCCAGGCTCTCCCTCTGGTATTTTTATCTCCAAGACCACAATGAGACTTTCCAGCTTTGTTCCCTCAACACCTCAGTGCCATCTCCAGCTCCCTCCTTCCCCCTCTGTAAGTGCCTGGGAGTCCTGGCACACATGGGGCTGGTGCTCAGCACCCCAGCAGACCAGAGCCCAGTTTTGGTGGTTGGTGTCTGGGGGTGGGACGCACTGTTGAGGTCACAGCCCAGGAGCTCCATGCGCAGCGTGGCCCTGATGTTGTAGTGGGTGGGGTGGATGCGGATGTACCGGGCTACGATTGGGGGCTTGAACTGGTTTGCTTTCACTCCTGTTGCATCCACGTTTCCAAAGAAAAGCTGCAGGGAAAGGGAGGAAAGGGATTGTTGTACCAGTGGAAAGAGATATACAGGACAAGGATTACTGGGGAGAAGAATGTTCATGTCAGGCACTTCTGTATCTTTTCACCATCTTTACAAAAATGGCAACTCAGGGAAATTATTTGAGATGAGGTTCAGGTCAAAGAAGTGTGAGTGGGCCACTGAGAAAGAAAAGGAGAAGAAACTTTGGGTCTGTGCAAATTAACTTGATTTCACGTTTTCACCAAACAAGGGTGAGAAAAATGAGGGAAAAAAGTCAGTCCTCAAACATTTGAACCTGGGAAAAGTTGTAGCCACAGATGGTATACACAATGGAGGCTTTCCTGGCTACTCTTTTCCCAATGGATTCATCAGCTTATGCATATTTAGGTTATGGTTTTTTTCTAGTGACTATAGATTTTCCAAATCATTTGCATCTGCACAATATTTTTAGAAAGGCAAATTTGCCTTTGAGGTCAAAAAAGATATGCAGGTAGAATCTTGTGCCTAACTCTAAGTAAAATGCAACATGACATTAAGAGGTGGATCTCACGGCCATGTGGGATGGTGGAAAGAGGTAGCTCAGACAATTTAAAATAAGACAGATGGACACAGACAATGAGTCCCTTTCTGATCTGTGATTCAGTCACCTGGCACTGAATGGTCTCTGTTTCTGCCCTGAGCTCAGGGGCTCAGGAGGTTTCTGCCTTGTGTACAGAGCTCCCCAGCCCTCATCACCTCAGGACACCCCATTCAGGGAAAGCAGTCTGCTCAAGACCCTTCACCTTACCATCTGTGTGCTCGTGGCATTCCCCTTGTACGTCTTCCACCTTCGCCCATCAAGGCTGTAGAACACAACAAACTGGGAGATGTAGAAGCTGGAGAACTTTTGTCTGGCCCCTTGGGTTTTTATGCCATGAATAATGGTGGGATGCAAAAGATCCACCTGAGAATGAAAGTCAGGGATTCACATCTGATGAAAAACTCAAGCCATGTTCAGGCAATGCCCCGTAAACCCACAAACTTGCTTCTCCTGACATAACTGAGCACCGGTTATGAGTTATTAAAACAGTTGTTCATAAGGGTGCAAGTCAGCCAACAGCTGGGATTGAGCAGAGGAGAGCTCCTTTGCTGAGGTGAGCTGTTCTGCCTTGGTCATTGGGGGATTTTTGCACAATCCAGTGCTGCAGCTGGACCATCAAGTGATTTTTCTGCTGCACTGAGGATGGATATGGGGGTCAGAACAGCAGCAGCCTGAGCAAAGCAGCTGCCATTAGGATCTTAGTGCTCCCCTGTCAGAGGGAAGAGGAAACAGAAGGATATAGCACGGGAGGCCCTGCCCATCCCTGAGCTCTTCTGCATGAGCATGACCTTGCAATGCCCCCAGTGGTGCCTCCAGACACAAGGCCCCTCTTACCTGGATCCAGGCATTGCTGCGGTCGGTGCTCCAGGCATTGACGGAGCCGGTGTTGTCCAGCCTGGCCAGGTGAGGAGCCCACTGCCCTGCAAGGAGAGAGCACAGACACAAGGATGCTGCTGGCCCTTGGTGCTGCCTAAGGTGGTGACAGGTCCATCCACAGGACTGGGCCTGAGGATCACCCTGGGGTTTAGCAGCGACACACAGCAGGGCAGAGCCCTGGCACAATGGGCCAGCCGTGTGAGAAGGTTCCAGAAGGCTCCAGATCCTGACTGGGATGTTGACATGAGCACAGATGGAGGATCCCTGTCCCAGGGACTCAGCACAGCAGAATTTGGGGCAGGCAAACATATGAGTTATGCTGGCTGAAGCTGCCCTGACCCCACCTGCCCTCCAGCTACTCACCATACTGCCCCGAGGCTGTGATCTGAGAGTCTGCAATGCCACGTGAGGCCATACCCAGGGCATTCTGGCAGTCTGCAGGGAACAGGGGAGGGCAGAAACCAGGGAGAGTTGGTTAGATAACAAAAGTCTAAGTAGGGTAGCAGCCTTCAGGCTCAGGGAGGTTTTCAAGCCTCCAGGAGCTCCCAGGCTTGTTTCTCTCACACTAAGGGATAGGTTGCAGAGGCTTCCACATCCATCCCTGAATTTTAGGATAGCCAGAGGTTCTTGCTCACACCCCCTATGTCAGGAACAGAGAGTTTCCAGCATCAGACACAGCAGCCTTCTGCCAAACTCATTTCCCTGAGTCTATGACCTTTCATTCCTATGTCCTAATGTTCCAGCAGTGCTGACAAGTGTCTCTTCCTTATACCCACATCTTGCTCCTCTGCCTTTTTGTTGCTAGGCAGCATCTTTTGAAAACAAATATCACATTGCTAAAGGAAAGTCTACCTGACACCCCTGTCTCTCTCTGTCTCTCTTCTGGTCTGCTGAGCACAGGGATATTTGTCTCTTATAATAACCATTATTATTAGCGACTTGTCACACCTTGGCAGCTCCACTGTGTGTCAAATGCTCCTGGAGAAAATGCAAATTTGAAATCTTAAGCGGATTTTTAACTTATGGTAAAGTTTTCTGGCTGACATTTAATAATCTTTTAGAAACAGGAGAGAGACTGTCACAGTGTGATAAAATACCACTCTCCCACACCACTTCCCAGTCCTTACTTATGGTGAGTTAGAAACTCATGTTGTTCTGGGGTGGAATCAGAGCTGTACTGTGGATTTTGCATTTGCTCTTGGAGTTATTCCTATTAGGCCAACCTGCACTGAGCATCACTCACTATCTCCTGTCACTGCTCTGTGCCTCAGTTTACTTCCTGATATATGGCCAGGCCATAGGTCTCTGGGCACTGTATCTTACTGACAGCATGGACAGGGACCAGCCCATGCATGCACTTGACTGGGTAAGTGCATTTTATGGAAGGTCTAGGGACCCTCAGATTTGGAAAACAAGAGCTCTTGGAGTAAACATTTGCAGGCTGATGAAGCTGGTCTCCCAGCCTTCACCCCAGCTGTGTCCCTGATTCTGTGCTCTCTGCTGACTTTCTTCCAGAGTGAAAACCTGGTAGATCCCACGTGGGTCACCCCAAGAGAAATGCTGAGAGATCTGTAGGGAAGGAAGCTCAAATACACACTGGTCATGGCTGTGGCCCAGGTGGGTCAGGCACAAAGAGATCACTCACTCAGGTCGTACACGAGGAACAGGGCACTCATTCCGGCTTGTTGGTGCTCTCCCACTTTGCACTCCACCCTCCAGATCCCAGCATGTGAGGGCCACATCTCCACTGTCCCAAAGACACCTGGCCAGGAATGGAGAGCAGAGCAGAGGGGAGTTACTGCCTGTAATGGGATGCCACTGTGCCAAGTGCTGTGCAACCACAGGGACAGAATAGTCCAGATCCACTTCCCCTCCTTGGTGTTTCCCCACAGAAACTTCCTAACGGCACAAACATGAAGCCCTGGCAGAGGGGAGTGCACAGTGCCTGTGCTGCATCTCACCAGGATAAAGGTTGTAGACTCCCATGCGATACTCCTGGCTAGTCCTGACACTGAACAGCTGCCCATGGAAGTGAACAGAGTGGATGTCCTCAGTGCTGCCCATGTTCAGGAGGTGCCATCGGACCCGTTGCTGCTGGGCCATCACCAGCCCAGGCAGGGTGTCACTCACGTAGCCGTTGATGGCTGGGAAAGGCAGCAGTCAGGAGGGACTCAAGGCTCTGAGATATTTCCATCCCAATATAGGTTATGGGATGGAAAGCACAAAGGCAAGGATCCTCACCGTGGAAGGAATGGTTTCTCTTAAAGTCAGGGCTGTCCTGCTGGATCTGGCAGGGAGGGCGGCAGTTTCTGTCCACGTTCTCTGGGAAGTACCAGCTTTTGGTCTCATCAAAGATGGTGAAGAGCAGGGAGAACTCCTGCACAGCCAGCTGCCTCCTGGAAACGTAGCTCAGCACCCCACGGTTGCAGATGATCAGTGGCCCAATGAGGCCTGAGTGCAGGTCCTTCTCCTGCCAGGGAGCCAGAAAATCAGGGTTTGCCTCCGAGCAGGAGACAGCACTGCTGCAAGAGGCACAGCAGGGCGGAAAGGGGGGAACACATCTGCATCCATGGCCTGGCTCCCACTCTGGGGCACGTGTAGGGAGGGAAGAACATGTTGGGTTTACTGGGGCATCCCCACTCTGCCCTGAGCTAAGAAAGGCTGCTCAGCAAGTGTTTGCATGTGCTTTCAAGAGACGTGGTGTCTGTCCGTCCAACTGTCCAACAGTCCCTACTGCATTGGACCCAGCAGCCAAATTCAGACAGATTTGGCATAGGAGTAAGGAAATGCAGAATGCTGGGTTGTTTTTTTGCAGGGCAGGGCAGGGCAGGGCAGGGCAGGGCAGGGCAGGGCAGGGAAGGGAAG